ATCTTCTTCGAGCGCGGCATCGCCATTGAGGCCACTAAGGCAAGCATACTGTATGCTTATCTTTATGATGCTCTTGTCAGTACTTGTGTTTCATCTTTGTGTACCCATAGTTCGTCCGATTGCATTTCACATTTCTGTTTGTGGCGTGGTAGCGTGTTAAATCTACAAGGTGTGTAGTATTTCCAATTTTCCATAGGGACATGGATGGATTGCTCGGAGCTGTCATATGCAATTCTGCCTGAATGTTGTGATGTTTGGAATTCCTGGATGACCAAATAGTCAGGGTGATAGGGAATTGAGCTTCTCTGTGGTGTTCATTTTTCTGACATTCTTATAGGACACATTACTTATTTCACCTCTTTCATAGTTGCGCTTGACTGTCGATTTTTGCTATGTTGAAAGATACAGAGGGAAAAAAGATAAGTTTCCATTGTGGAGTTAGGGCATCTATCCAATCAAATAACTGCCACTGATATGAGCTAGATGCAATTTTGTAAAAACTGCCTCCTAGGAGGATGTAAATCCCCTCTCTTTCCAATGCAATGAAACGCAAAAGCCATTTGCGTTTTCTCGAATTTTTTTTGGAGATGACTGTATCACTTTTTTTTACAAACTTCTGAAAAAGATATTTTATTGCCTATCTTTAATTTTGACTAATGCATGAAACTCGTTTTATATATAATAGCTTACCTTTTCTATTGCCTAACATGTGTATTTTTTTCTATTGTTTAATGTTTCTCTTTTATATTCGTGGGATCAATTGACCATGTGAACGCAAGCTTCTTTTGATCCTTGTGGAGTCCAAAAGGAGGAAACCATGTTGCACTGAACAAAACTGAGGCATGGAAATATGTTGACGAATTTATAAGATAATTATTGTATTACTCTATTGCTAGCAGAAGAGGATTTTTGTTACTGCTTAAGCAGATTTTCTGAAGCATGGATACCCGTCTTTGCTGTCTATGGTAATAGTCTAATAGAAGAAAGGAAAGTGTGGTGTTTTATTGAGAGATCAGAATATTGATTTTAGATTTGTATGTTTGAGGATATAGAGTTTAGTGTGTACTTCTGCCAGGAACTTGCATTGTATTTGGGTTTCCAGAAAGTTTTTGATTTTCATTGAAGTATTGGGATGACTTGTAGGAGTTCTCAAGCTTAAGCGTGGAGCATTGTGAGGGAGAAATGATAGTTGTCACTGTGTTTGAAATCAAGGAGGAGGAGGTACTGTGCTGCACTTTATGATAGTGTGCGACTTTTTGTTCGTGTGCAATCCAGTGAAGTTTTTTTAGGTTTTAGTGAAGTACTGAATTGGGATATTCGCAGGTGCCAGCATTCATCGAGAGAGAGCTTGAGTTCAGATTTCTTGCGGTGGGTGAGCAGTTAATTCACTGCATGCTAACCAATTTTGTTAGGTTTTCAGTTTCTTCATCTCAAGCCTGGCTTTTGGTGGAGTTCAGATTGTCCAGTGTCCAGTCCTGGCTTTTAATTTAGGTTAACTCTTTTTGTTTATGTATATATGTGTTGTCAGGTGGTCCCTGAAGGACTGGATGGAGCGCCTTTTCCAAATCCAGCTGTAAGGGCCTGTATTTTGGGACTGAATTTCTAGCTTAGTTTTTTGTTTGATCTTTCCTGCAATGCAGTTATTATTCATCTTGATGGAATTTATTGGTTTAGGTTGTCTGTGCACGCTATAGCGATGAAGAGTATTTCCGAGTGAGATGCAAAGGTTGAATCTATATGACACTCAAATTTCTTTCAGTTCTGCATTTCACTTTAATGACTTTGCTACTGACTTTATAATGTTATTGACATTGGGTTATCAGCATATCAGTTTGTCCGTTTTACTATTGATAAGATATGGTAGGACTTTTTTCCATTACTATCCAAAAATGGGATTGGGTTCCACTATCAAAAGATAACGAAATGAAAACAAAACAAATGTGTCCAAACTGAAATGAAAGGGCCTAGCGACAGAATTCGCAGGCTGCTGCCGCATCTAAGCTAACAGCAGCAAGAACTGCTAAGAAAATCACGGTGTATATTACAGAGATTGAAAGCCAACTACCCCAGCACATAACTTGATCCTCAGGGGTGCCAGATCATCAGGAGAAATCATATCATCCGTATCCACTGAAACCTTCCTTTTATTTTAGTCTTCCTCCATAGCTATGTTCCCATTTCCATCGTCTTCTTCAGCTTCCTCATGTCCATCATCTTCCAGGTGCAGATTTTGCCTTCTTCCTTCACCATGTCCATCATCATGGGCCGTCAGTGCCTCACATTGCAGTGCCTCACACGAACTTCATCAGATTATAGGCCTGACCAGTAATGCATAAATGAGCATGCACAGCACTCAAATTCAGCAGGCTCTCGGACCAGTTTAAATTCAAAACAAACTCTGTTGCAAAGTTTCCACAACACCCAGCAAAGAGCCGCCAAGCCCACAATTTGTAAGTTTCGACTTCTAGGCAAGAAAGTAGGAATCCACCAGAAATACTGGGAGAAACAACCAGGTCTATCTACAGCTCCTACACATTTGGCTACCATGCTCCAGACATACTTAGGCCCTGCTTGGCATCGGTGTAAATATTATACAGCCGTATTAGTTTACATGCGTATATTACTGGGCCACAGGTGTTTTCCAGCCGGAAAAGAACGATGAGTCGAGGCCTGTATCATAAACCGACTGAATAAGAGCGTGACAGGGGATACAGGTGTAAATATTACAGGCCCAATCCGACGAACCAAGCGAACCCACCTGACTTTTTCTTACCCGGCAATGTTTTACGGGGGATTTAGAAAGTCAACGATATCCAAGCGGGGCCTTAGCTGCAGAGCTTGGTAGGATATACTCCCTCTGTCTCAAAATGTAAGACATTTTTTGACATTGTCATAGTGTCAAAAAATGTCTTACATTTTGAGACGGAGGTAATATTTCTTTTTACATTATTTGGTACTCCCTCTAAAGAAATATAAGAGCATTTAGATCACTAAAGTAGTGATCTAAACGCTCTCATATTTCTTTTCGGAGGGGGTAGAAAGATTATTTTTTTCGTGACTTGGTATCCCTTTATTCATCTGATAGTAATGATCTAGACTTCTCTTTTACGTTTTTGTGTCCAGCATCCTGTTTTCCTTTTTGAAGCTACTCCCGCTGTTCCTAAATATAAGATGTTTTGTTGAACTGCCAAAACTTCTTATACTTTAGGAACAGAGGGAGTATTTAATAATATTTGATAACAATTTCTGAGAAAAATTGTTGCATGTTTGTGTTAATTTATAACAACATATGACTTTTAGCTATGTTATTCTTTGAGGTCTTTTAGCATATTTATCTGCCTCTATTATCGTAATTGCTTACTATTGACCAGCTAGGGTAAAATTACATAAATCGCCATGGTGATACCTGAATAAAAATACAACGAGATATCAACAATTATTTACTAGGCATAGTAATAGTTTGCTCATGTATAATATAAAGTTATTTTAAAACTGGATCGCACATATACTTCGAATCGCAGGACAAGTTCCACTGAAAAGAAATCAGGATTCTAAGGAATTGTAGGATGACAAAAGCATCAGAGTAGAATCAACATAGACATGTTTGACAATGAGCAAAGCTTTAAGCATGGTATTTCTTTTACCCTTTTAAGGCAAAGTGATGCCTTCTTATGCAGATACAAAGCTATTTACTTTTGGATAATTGCACAAGACAGCCCAGAACTGTAATCTCATTCCTAATTCCATAACACACTGAAATGTTGACCAATTCTTTCTGCAGGAAGCAAAGAGATATATAATCAGCACTATGGACGATACAATATTGATAAAATATGGAGGGATGATATCTTACCCTGTCGTCTATATCTCAGGCACTGGTAAGTATATTTACTCTTCAGCCATCTATGCTGCTGCTATCCACATAGTTGATTTTTTTTTAATTCTTTTCCTCAATAAAGCCGTTATAAACATCAGCAAAGGCATCTTCTGCAAATTAAAATCACTGTACACCTTTGGGACTCCACCGAGGCACCGATTATTATAGGATATATTTGTTCTCCTGGTACATCGCATCAGTGACATCTCAAAGCAAGGGGCATCCCGCAAGCAAGATGATATCATTGCTTTGTGACATCTGAAAGCAAGATGCATCATGAAGCAAAAAAATAACTAAATAAGTTATTGCTCTGAACATTCTAGTTCTTGTACCAACGCGTTTTCTATCTAACTGTCTCTGTCATCAGCACTCCATCATTAGGTGGGGGTGTAGATAGAGCCCGATCCTTCTGATATTGCGAGCACCTCACACGGGTCTGATTGCCTTGCAGTGTTCTTGCTGCCAAGAATCTGGGAGAACCAGCATATAGCAACTTCTTAGACCACACCTATCTGGGTGACCGGAGAACCACAATAAGGGAATACTTGGCCACGACCGGAGCTGGCATCATGGAAGAGGAGCCACCGGAGACGCTACGAAGCCGCTATGGTGGCTAACCCGACGATGACTCTCACGGCCACATCCACCACACATTGAAATTCAAACTTGTGTGACTGCTGCCTACCAAATCGGCAGTGGATATGAACAGAGATGCACCATCAGTGCAGAATACCTAAGATTGCGATTGTTTTGGGTGCAAATTATCGGCGCCAAAAGCGGTGATGTATGACCCTGTTGTGATTGATGTACACTGATAAGGCAATAATTGTGACTATTTCCTATCATAACAGAGACGGGGCCATACACAGACAAAAATGCATTTGCCCCCTTGCCGTTGGCTGCTGTTGGTTCTCGTGCATTTTGGGGAGATTTTCCGGTCATCCACCGGCAGCAGTTCGCCCACCGTCCCGATCGCCAGCCCAACTGCCGCACGCTCTGATTTGCTGTGATCTGCCATTTTGGTCTTTGACCGCGACGTCTGCACTCACTCTTCTACCAAGAAAAGGACGGGTGTGTTTCCCTTCCTTGGTCTTCACGGCAATGCAGGGACGAAGCTGTCCGTCTACGATGGCGGCGAGTGGTGGAGGAAGAGGCAGATCGCCGAGCAGTCGTCGACGGCGTAGCCCTGCCGCTTGCGCCTCCAGGCACGGACGGCGCACTGGACGAGGCGCTTCGCCGCCTTCTCCCTGTCCGCCGTGGCCGCCACGATCTGCACCGCGTCTTCGTTGGAGACCACGTCCCAGACCTGTCGCAATTTTTTGACGACCATCAGATGATGCAGTAGGATTGTGCCAAACTACCAAGGCATAAAACGGAGCTGGACGATAGAGAGGAAAGGTGGTTGGCTGCTTACCCCGTCGGTGGCCAGGATGACGAACTGATCCCGGGCGGCGATCCTCCTCTGCGTCACCTCCGGCGCCGAGATGACGCCGTAGTCCTTGACGCAGTAGTCGCCGAACGCACGCGACATGGCCAGCCCCGGCGCCTCCCGGTCGGGCACCCACACCCGGTGCACGCCGGGCTCGTCCTCGTGGCAGTGCACGCGGCCCTTGCACTGCACGATGCGCGCCTTCTCCTCTGCAATTCAGTTTTCACCGTGGGTGAGCAACGGCCGTCCCAAGGATGCTGAATGTGCCGCAGCGCGTCTGTCGCAGCGTACTTACGAGGCAGGTTGGGTTTGAAGTCGACGGTGAGCTGGACGGCTGCGATGCTGCCGTCGTCCGACGTGGTCCCCAGGACGGCTCGGGAGTCGCCCACGTTCGCGATCACCATCGTGTCACCCTTTTTAACGACGGACAGAGCAGTGGAGCCACTGTTGACCGCGTCGAGGCGGCTGCTGCGGCGGAGCTCTTCGTCGACGGCAGCGGCGGCGGCCAGGTAGGACTGCTTCCAGAGGTCGAACTGGGAGTCGCAGAGCTTCTTCTCGCCGTCGATGAGCGACGCTAGCGTGACGGCCTCCTGCCAGCGGCACAGCAGCGACGGCGGCAGCGAGTCCCGGACGGCCTTGGAGACGTAGTGGCCCCACTGGCCGTGGCCGTCGAAGATGCCGCAGAAGATAGTGTCCTCCTGGCGTCCGAACCCCTGAAGAGAGGGAGAGGAAAACCACAGAACAAGTATACTTTTAGCTTGGTGTACATTTCGGTTTGACTATTTAGAACCCTTTTTTTTACGGAAAAACTTCCAATCTATTCATCTTCAATCATGGCAGTACAACGAACACCAGAAATAAAAATTACATCCAGATCCGTAGACCACCTAGCAACGACTACAAGCATTGAAGCGAGCCGAAGGCGTGCCGCCGTCATCACCCCTCCATCGCCGGAGTCGGCACAACTTGTTGTAGTAGACAGTCGGGAAGTCGTCGTGCTAAGGCCCCATAGGACCAGCGCACCAGAATAGCAACCGCCGCTGATGAAGAATAACGTAAGTTGGAAGGATTCAACCCGAAGACACATGAACGCACCGTTTTCTGCCATCGCAGTCATACCCCCTTGGATAATGACCCAATCACCCAAGCCACATTGGATTCAGAAACCAAGAAACCTAACACCTTTTTCTCTCCAACAAACCGAGACACGTATTATGCTTTTTTGGCATGGAGATACAGTAGTACTCCCTCCGTTCGGAATTACTCATCGAAGAAATGAATGTATCTAGATGTATTTTAGTTATAAATACATTCATTTTTATGACAAGTAATTTCAAACAGAGGGAGTAGTAGTATAAAAGAGAGACGCCTAGAAGCCAAAAGCAAGCGCCATATCCAAGGACCTCGTGAACAACATGCTACAAAACCTATGTCTAGTGAGGCCACGTAGCACTACTACATCAGTGAAAAAAACTACTTAATTAAGGGCCAACATCAGTAATAATTTAGTAAAGAGACTACCTCATTGCTCGGTTAGGCATTTTGCCCGATAGATCGTTATTATAGTCTCGTTTACTGAATCAGTTTTGGTCACCCGCAAAAAATAAAAAGAATCAGTTTTGGTCCATTTTTCTACTAAGAAACATATCTTTATTTCTGTATATAAATTTCTCTTGTGGATAACAAAATAATTCAATACACTATTTTTTGGCACAACGACATACCGAGTCTAAGTTGCATTGAAGACTTGCCGCAGCAACAACAAAACTGTACTGAAGAGAGAACTAAAGCACACCTCACAAAGATAAAGAAAAATCAGAAAATTGATTAGGCAAAGGAACGGGGAGAGAAGCCCATATCTTAGGCAGACAGGTACATGAAGCTGTTAAAATTTATTCAGTGCTCAGAAACTATTCTACACTTTTTCTACAGCAATGAGGGGACAGGGCCAACGAACCATGGCACAATGCACAATATCTTCTTCTTCGTAACTATGTAAGTTCCTAATGAGAAATCTCGAAGCGAGAGTTATTCATGTAAGTTGTCTCGTCGCTAATTCGCTACTACCATAAATTAAGTCACCAATGATTGCCACGAGACGTGGAACAGAGCATCAACATGCAGCGACCGGATTACGAAACACAGAGCAGAGCAGCGGCGGTGGGTGGATGGATGGATGGAGCTCACCTCCCAGACGATGGAGCAGTCCTGGTTGGTGCCCTTCTCGCCGCGGCGGGACCAGACGGCGGCCAAGGTCTCGGAGCCCTCGCCCCGGAGCGTCCCCGACGACCGCAGCACCGTCCCCTGCTCCTCCTCCTTCCTCTCCTTTCCCAGAGCCATGGATCGGGCCAGCCCCTGCAGCAGGGACGAGAGCTGCCGCATTCTCGCTAACCCAAAGAGACAACCCAAAAGAGTTCCGCGCGCAAGAGTTTCTTCTCTCTCCCTTGCTCTCTTAGTTTCTGGGTGACCGACGGCACTGTTGGTGGTGTGCACGGGCAAGGACAGAGCACTCTCCATCTCCGGCCATGGCGATGGATATGGACAGGGAGCACGCACGCACGGTTTCTTTAGCTTAGGAGATGCCCTGATCGTTTCTCCTGGATCTTTCTTGGATGAGGGCGATTGACTTTGGATTGAAGAAACGAGCTTGGACTGGAGCGATGGATTGGATCAGTCGACCTGGTTAACTTGGCCAAGGAAGAAAGTGGGGAAGCAAGCGGATTGGACTGGCGCCAGCCAAGGAAGAAGCGTGAGTCGAGTTGTGGTGTGAAGTGAAAGCCGGGGAGGGAGGGAGCTTTTTAAAGAGGAGAGGGGAGCTGGGGAAGATCGAAGGGGTGGGATGAAGAGCCGGGGGTGCAGTAGAAGCTACAGACAGCATGCAAACCGAGGCCGAGGCAGCAACGCGGTCCGTCGCTTGCACAGCAACACGAAGATGCCCTCCTTTGCCCAAGGAAGAAGGAAAGGAGATAGGATGACGGGACGGGTATATGTCCTCGGAGACTCACCCGGCGTATTCCATTCCGTCAACAACTTTAGGTCTTCCGATCGAAAAAATAACTTTTTGAAGTTGCGTTTTGTCAGGACCCGATCTTAAGTCACATCGATTTAGCATATAACACATCATATCACTTTGCGGCCTCACGCACGGTATTTCCACAGGTGCCATCTTATCTGGCCTGGGCCCGTTTGCGTCTTTTGACTCATGTATATGATAGTGTCGCTAGCATCCATATTTTTTTTGATCAAAGAAGGGTTTTCCCCTTCCGATTTTCATTACTGAAAACCAAGCTTACAAAGTTCAAAGGACGAGCAGCAGAAAACAGGTTCACAGCATTACATAAGACGAATGAAAACTGGCCAAAAGGACCAACACAGGCCAGCATGAACAAGGTCCATCAACACATCTAAACAGAGTTATAGACTTAATAACTAGCGACTAGTAGGCACAAAAGGACTTGGAACAGCAGCAGAAGATGAAGGAGTTGCAGCCATCATCCAGGGGAGCCTCGTCACATTGATTCGCCATCCCTGCCCAGCTGTGTACACCTCACTTGTTGCCCGTTCTAGAACTCTTGCCCCCACTTTCAGCATTTTTTTGGTGGCTCTTTTGTCTGCAAAATGGACCAATCAAGCAACCATCGAACCATTAGTTTGATTATTTGGAAAGGATCATTAATCCTTTTTCTCTCAAAGACAATTGCATTTCTACATTTCCAAATTGCCCAGAATAAAGCAGAAACCCCTATCATCACCATTTTCTTGTCTTCTTTATTGAATTTATTAATCCACCCCCAAAACAATCTTTGACACTTAACGAACTGGACTTCAGACCACAAACGCATCGGACCAAACTCCAAAGCAGAGAGGTCGCAGAGCATGTGAACAACAAATGATCAATTGATTCATCTTGTCCACAAAACACACATTCTTTCCCTCCTTTCCACCCCTTTTTGAGTAAAACATCCCTAGTCAAAATGCTCTTTTTATTCACTAGCCACAAGAAGACTCTTATTTTAGCAGGAACTTATTTTAGCCATAGTGGTGTATTTCCACAGGTGCCACCTTATCTGGCCCGGGATCATTTGCGTCTTTTGGTTCATGTATATGATAGTGTCGCTAGCATCCATATGACAAAAGATCTGGACCGATATAACTAGTCGTAAACCCAAGGTGGCGCTATCTTACAGGGACAGATATACATGACCAAGCAACGAACGTGTCGATGAACAACGTATGAACCCAAGTCGTAGCAAGCTACAGGGATTTAAAGGAACAACGTGTGATATTTCACCAAAGGGACAGACATAGGAACGAAGAAGGACACATGTCGGCCAACCTAGGTGTTTCCGGAGCAGTAGCAAGCTACCATGGCTCAGTGGAAGCACTACGAGACATTTCCCGATAAGAGAGGCTACCAAGAATAAACAACTAAGTTGTCGGATCCCACACATACCAAGCATTTTAAATCATACACATAATATGCTCGATATATGCAAATATAACATGACATCACAACATAACTCTACGACTTAAGTATTTATTCATTAGGCCCCGAGGAGCGAGATGTTACAAACATGTGTCTCATGACCCAACATTCAGAGCATACAAACCAGAAGCACATGCGGAAGCTTAACATGTTTGAGTACAGACATCTACAAATTAAAAAGGGCTGAGAAGACTGACTATCTACTAGATCCTGCCAAGGGCACAAGACCATGGTTGAGATAACAAGCTAAACGTCGAAGTCCACGCGAAACTACTAGTGAGACGGAAGTCTCTCTGCAAAAACATAAAATAGGCAAACGTGAATTCAAATGTATCCAGTAAGACTTACATCAAAACTAACTACATATGCATCAGTATCAATAAAGGGGGTGGTGGAGTTTGACTGCAGCAAGCCAGTTTTGACTCGGTGGCTATCCTGAACTACGACTGCAAGTAACTCTTTTGAGGTGGCACACACTAGTCCACATATTCACCATGTCAATATACCATTATGGATCCGCTCCCGTCTTCCTACAAGAACGCCATCCATAACACTCACGCTTATCTTGCGTATTTTAAAGTATCCACTTTCACTTGTTTATAAACTGTATAGGCAACCCAGAGGTCCTTTACCGCGGACGCGACTATTCGAGTAGATCATTTATGACCCTGCAGGGGTGTACTTCACACATGTTTCCACCACTTAGCGTCTGCACACGACATGTGCTCGGCAGACTTCAAGCGAAAGCCGATGTGGGTGTAGACCACAACCTACCTAAACACTCAAGTCTCTAGTCCAGATTTATCGCCTATTCAGGTTCCATCCGCAGGAAGTCTGGCCGAAGTTTCCACAGCTCGAACGATGTGTGCAGGGTTCTTGAGACACCAAACGGGCGCCCGGTACACCGTGCCACGTGCATACCGCATCACAGCTCATGCCTCGTGTCAGCGTTGCGCACGGCCTCCAACATACTACAAACACCAGAAACTACTTGCAACTCCTGGACAGAGGACAAGGGTGGTTAAGAAGTCGAGCGGGGTCATATTTCAGGGCACAACATGTGGTAGTGGCTGTTTCATAGATCACAAACACAGAACTCAGTTCCTGAGGACGGCTTCAATGAGACAACCCACCATGTACTCCTACATGGCCTCTCACCGCTACCTTTACCAAATCGTGTTCACACACTTAGCTCACGCACAGTAGGACATGTTCACAACCTTCCAATTCATCCCCGATGAATCAGACCAGACTCAACTCTAAGCAGTAGCAGGCATGAAAAACAAGCATGAATGAGTAGGCACATCAGGGCTCAAACAACTCCTACTAATGCTAGTGGGTTTTATCTATTTACTGTGGCAATGACATGTCATGCAAAGGATAAGGGGTTCAACTACCGCAACAAGTAACAAATATGTCATTGTTGTCCTAATACAGTAAAAGAGAGCAGAAGCGAGAGAGTGGGATTGTATCGGAATGAACAAGGGGGTTTTGCTTGCCTGGCACTTCTGAAGATAGTATAGTTCTTCATCGGTGTCATCGAACTCATCGCCGGAACACGTCTACTGAGAGGGGACAAACACCGGCAAACAAGGAAAAACACAATCGATGCAATGCACAATATGATGCATGATCATGACATGGCAATATGATGTGATTTGAGCTAATGCATCTAGCAACAGGTTAAATGAAGTTGGTTTGAATCCAACATTCAAATTCAAACTCCATATGTGATGGTTTAAATGCCCTTTATATGATTTGTTCTAAACAGTAACTATAAGTTATTTTAACCTGCATGAAACCAGTACAGATGGGTAGATAGGATTTTCTGATCATTTTTCATATATAATTTATCTTATTTGGAGTTACACATAATTTTCTATGAATTTTAGAAGTTTTAGCTATTTTCTGGAATTTTCTGAATTAAGTTTAATCCAGAAAATAACTTATTGGTAAGTACTGCGTCACTATGACGTCAGCAGGTCAACTGACCTGGTCCAAGTCAAACCTGACCAGTGGGGCCCACTGGTCAGTGATCTATCTAACTAACAGTGTTAATTAGCACTAACTAAAAGCCTAATATAGGATTAGTCAGGGGCTGGCCCCACATGTCAGTATCCTAACTAACTAACAGAGACAATTAGTGCTAATTAAATCCTAACTAAAGTGTAAGTGGAGCATGGGCCCACATGTCAGTGGCACAGGGAGGGTCAAACAAGGGTCAAACCCCAGTGAGCGGGGTCAAACCCGCCGGTGTTGAGTCACCGGCGAGGCCAGACGCGGCGGAGGCGTCGGGATTCCTCCTCCGGCGACCAAATGGCCGGCAGAGGGCATCTACGTGCTGCTGGTGAACACGCGCGTCGAGTGGAGCAAGCAGTGTGCATGGGGGTGGCCGGAGATGACGCCGGCGTCGAGCCAGGCAGCGACCGGAGTTCGGGCGTGCACGGAAACAGGGCTACGGAGCATGGCGTGAGGATCTGGTGGGTGTGCTCGGCTCCTGGGGTTGCACTGAGTGCAGTGGCGCGCTCGGTTTGGATGAAGGCGAACCAAAACGACGACGGTGACAAGTCCGGCGCTGGTGAGGTCTCGGTCTCGACGGAAACGAGGGCTACGGTGAGTTATTGAGCATGGGAGCAGGGGGGTCGGTGCAGAAGCTCACAACGGGTGCAGCGGTGGCCTCGGTGAGCTTGGGGAGGCACCGGAGCGAGCAAAGCATCGAGGGGGATCTCCGGCGGCCGGCGATGGAAACAAAGACGATGGCGTCGCTTCAGGTGTCCCGCAGGTGTGTGACTTGGTGGAGAGGGCGAAGGCATCGAGGCGAAGCCCGTGGGCACATTGGAGAAGCGAGGGGGAGGCGGTGGCTGCGTCTACGGCAAACGGCGGCGACGAGCTCCGCTCGGGAGAGGCGCGGGAGAGAGCAGAGAGGGGGTGGAGCACGAGAGAGAGTGAGAGAGGTCCAGGGGATGCGTGGCGCTGCGAGAGATAACCAGGGGGAGGAGGGAACAACCAGGCAGGGCGGAGGTGGTCGGCG